GCGGCGGCGGACGGCGTTCCTGTGGGCGTACAGCCGGCGGGCGCCGCCGCACTTGGCGGCCAGCGAAGCCGCAAGGGCGCTGCTGCCCCCCGAGCCGCTGCCAGGGCCCCAGGTGACCCTGCGGGAGGCCCGCCGCCGCGTCTCCGCAGAACTCAACCAACAGGGCCTCCACCCCGCAGTCCTCGACGTCCTTTGGCAGTTCTTCACCAGCGGCAGCCAAACCTGTGAGGCCCCAACGCCACGCCTCCAAAAGGCCGCTTCAAACGCACCAAGGGGGCCCCAAGGGGCCTCAGGGGGCCCCTAGGGGGCCCCTAGGGGCCCTCAAGGGGGACACTAGGGGACCCCAAGGGGGTCCTTGGGGGTCCTGTGGTGGCTTTAAGGGGCCCCTAAAGTGGCCTCAAGGGGGCCCCAAGGTGGTCATGAGGGGGCCCTAAGGTGGAGTTAAGGGGCCCAGAAAAAGGCCGCCAGAGGCCCCTAAGTTGGTGGCCACCAGGGGCCCCCACCTCGAGAGACCCTAAGAAGTTTTCTGTAGTTTGGAATAGATCAAACAGTTTGGGGCTTCTACAGGCCCTTAGTAGTTGCTTTGGGGGCTCCTTTAGGGTCACAATGAAGGCGGGAGGGGCCCCAAGAAGCCCTTGGGGGCCCCCCTCAGTGCCTTGCTGAGTTGTGTGTGCTGCTGCTGCGTTTGGTGCTGCGAGTGCAGCAGTGCTGACGAAGCAGCAAGCAGCGGAAAAGATGGACGAGCTGATTGGGGGCCCCTGGAAGGGCCCCCGTCTTTGGCTGGAGGCCTCCGAAGTGCCCGGGCTGCTGGACCCTGGGGCCCGGGGGGCCTCCAAGTCCGAGGCCCTTCAAATAAAAAATATCTTCTTCAGAGGCACCAGAATGCTTTACCGAAACCCCGAAGCAGCAGCAGCCCCTGGCCGCCGCCCCAACCCCCGGGGCCTCCCCCCCCGCCTTTCTGTTGCAGCCCTTTGGGCCAAGTTGGGGGCTGCTGTTACCCAGCGCATGCAAAGCTTCGACTTTGAGGCTTTGCAGGCCACAGAGGCCGCCATCAAGGCCCGCCAAGACCACTTCTTGGCCTGTCTTCGAAAGACGATCCGTGAGACAGCACTCCCCCAACGTTGCCCCCCCACTCACTTCGAATCCTAGCCACTCAAGCAGCTAAGACACCCCCGGGGGACCCGTAGGGGCCCTCGAGGGACCCCCAGGGGCCCCTGGGGGCTCACAGGGGCCCCACGGGGCCCCGCAGGGGGCGCACGAGACCCCACAGGGGCCCCCCCGCATCCCCGGGGGCCCCTGTAGGGGCTCTCGCGCAGCCCCCGGGGGGACCCCAAGGAGGCCCAGTGAGGTTTTTGCTGGCTTTTCAGCGCAGCATTCTCGCTGCTGCGGCTGCAGCAGCTTGGGTTTAAGGGGTAAGAGGGGGCCCACGGCTGAGGGCCCAGAGGCTGGAGCTGGTTGGGGGGCCCCCAGTTTGTTTGGGTTTTCTCAGAATTCCGGCAGCAGCGGCGGCGCTTCAGCTTGGCCTCGCAGCGGCTGCTGGACACTCTGTGGCTCCCGACGCTGCACTGGCGGGAGTCCAAGAAGGCCCGCGAGGAGGCCCTCAGCGCCGAGGCCCGTCTTGTGCGCTTGCATGCGCAGCAGCAGCACAGACACGGGCTCCCGCAGCAGCAGAACGAGCAGCAAAACGAGCCTCAGCAGCGCTGAGGGGCCCTGGGGGTCCCCGGAGCCGTTCGGGCCCTGGGGGGCCCCGGGGCCCCCCGGCGCCACCGGTGCTGCCCCAGCAGCCCCAAAGTGCCCCACTCCCCCTCAGTGCTGCGCA